ATTTTGTTGGTAAGTAGGCTGCAGTGTCATCTTTATTTCTGATAATGTCATTACATTTATCTAGTGTTTGAAAAACAGTAAAAGAATCACCAATGCTATAAAGGGCTGCAAGATTTTTAGCTAATAATTTTCGTGTAGGTGGTCCAGGTGAACTACTTATTAATCCAGTTAATTGTTCAACAAGTTTTTTCTGTTTTTCCTTTACATCAGTCTGTTATAAAAGAAAAAAAGCACATCACCATGTTTACTACTCATTAATCCAGTTAATTGTTCAACAAGTTTTTTCTGTTTGTCCTTCATATTGGTCTGTTATTAAAAAAAAAAAAAGAACATCACCATTTGTATACCTTTTATTACCTTTTAGCCAAAATAAATACTTAACTTTTAAAGTACTCTAATAATTAAAAATCTGTATCATATCAAGCATAAACCATAAATGAAAACTTTTAAGTTAAGAAAGTTCAGTAAGAATAGTCTACTCCTAGCCAGGCATGGTGGCTCACACCTGTACTCCTAGCTACTTAGGAGGTTGAGATCAGTAGGCTCACAGATTGAGGCCCGCCTGAACCAAAAATTCACAAGACTTCCCCCATCCCCCAAAAAAAAGCTGGGTTTGGTGGCATGTGCCTGTCATCCCAGCTACAGCAGAAACAGTAAAAAGGAAGATTGTGGTCCAGAATGGCCCATCAAAAAGTGAAACCCTATCTCAAAAATAAACAAACCAATAAGAGATGGAAGCATAGCTCAAGTGGTAGAGCCTCTGCCTAGCAAGCACAAGGCCCTGAGTTCAAACCCCAGAACACCTCCAAAAAAAGTCAGCTTTTTTTTTTGAAAACACTAGGCTTGAACTCAGGATCTCCCATTTGCCAGACAGGCACGCTACCACTTGAGCCATGCCCCCAATCTAAAAGTCTACTCTTTGCTAGTTAGCCTCATAAAAAAGTGACTACTCTGATCCAAAAATTTCTAGACAAACTGATTAATAAACCAGTAGTTCAAGGATGTGAGATGGTGAATGTACAGACAACTGATATCTTAGAATGCTGATGGGTTTCCCCTATAAAAGAAGAGTCAGTACTTTATAAAGTTACAGGGCAGTAAAGGAACCAAAAGAAACTCTGAAGAGATCTAGGCAACAGAACATAATACCTAGATCTACCCTTAATTCAATACCTAAAATTAATTCATTCATTGAAGAAACACTTACTGTATATATGTAAATATCAAAGGAACCCCTCTGTACAATTAATTTACACTATTTAAAAAAAGAAAAAGAAGCACTGTGCACTCATTGCATGCCATGCATTTATTCTTGGCCTTCGGGTGTAACAATGAACAAAACAGATTCTGTGCCCTTGTGACATTTACATTCTAGCAAGGAGGTTCAGAGCTTAACAAATAAACAGATAAATACTATGCGTGCTTACTGTTTTACATAGATTGGTTAGAAACGGCTTCTCTGAAAAGTGAAGGGGTGAGTTATAGAGATACCTGGGGGAAGAACATTCCAAGCAAAAGGAACAAGAAGTGCCAAAGCTTTGAGATTAGAGCATGCTTAGCATACCTGAGGACCACAAGAAGGCCAGTTTAGCTGGAGTGGTGTAGGAGAGAGAAAGTAGCAGGAGACAAAGTCAGAAAGAACCAGAATGTAGTGTCATATACACCAAAGAACTTTGCATTTTATTCTGAGTAAGAGTTTTAAGCAAAGGAGGGCCATAATCTAAATGTTTTAACAAACTCACTCTGACTGGTAAACTGAAAATACCCTAGATAGAAGCATGATAAGTAAACAGGAAGCTGTGGCAATAATCTGGAGATGGTGATGAGAAGTAAATGAATTCTGAATATATTTGTGAGTAATACCATAAGATTTGCTGGTAGATATGATACTAAGTTTGAAAAATCACAGAAGTAAAGAATGACTCTAAGGTTTTTGACCTGAGCAACTATAAGAATTAAGTGGTCATTTTCTAAAATACAGAACACTTGGGAAAGGGCAGGCATGGTAGGGAAATCAAGAATTTGGTTTAGTCATGTACTGGTGGCTCATGCCTCCAATCCCAGCTACTTAAAAGGCAGAGATCAGGAGGATCAAGGCTTGAAGCCAGCCTGGGAAAATAGTTTGAGAGATCCAATCTCGAAAATACCCAACACAAAAAAAGGCTGGTGGAGTGGCTCAAGCAGAAGAGCCCCTGCTGAGCAAGTGTGAGGCTCTGAGTTCAAACACCAGCACAACCACAACAACAACAAAAAAGAATTTGGTTTAGATATGTTAACTTTGAGATGCCATTTAGATAAGAAAGAGGTAATTTGTATATCTGTTATCTTTATTATTGAGGTGGTAATAGAAATCATAAGATAAGATGCTATATTGCAAGATTAAATATAGATAAGAAACAAAAAAGAATGCCCAGTAGGAAGGAAGAGCCAGCAAAAGTAAATGAGAAGTGGTAGCTAGTGAAGTAGGAGGAACTAAAAGCAGATGTTATCTTGGAAGCCACTAATAGGAAGCAATTTATACAAAGTGTGCCAAGTAACAATAACCTATTTTTCGTTTGAGCAGAAGGTATAATTTAGCTATGTCCTATAAACTCTTGCATTTATCAGTATCACAATAAAAAATGTGTTAGGTATTTCAAGGCAGAGGATCAGCTATATCAAAAGATAGAGATGAATCAAATAAGACAGAATACTGACCATTGTTTTGGGGAATGTAAGATCCACGGTGGCTGCACAAAAGCTTTTTCAGTGGAAGGGAGGCAACAAATATCCAGTTGCAGAGACTGAAGAGGAACTATAAATTCCTAGTTAAAGATTTCAAGTGAATCCATGCATCAATCCTCTCTAAAACCTCTATTAAAGCCATATGGGGGAAACACACACAAATCCACAAGAGCAGAGAAAACAGGAAAAGAATGATCATAAAATTTGAAAGCCAAGTACTCCCAACAGGAAAAGTTGAGGAGAGACCTAATTTAAGACACAGAGTACACTAACACCTCACTTTTTATTTTGAAGTCTTGTATACCTCTGTAGGTGGGAGTAAGTTTACATCTAGAAATGGAGGGACTAGTTGAGAGTTATTTAAGAAGCTGTAAGATTTCTAGATCTCTCTCCTACATTCTGGAAGATGATTAGAGATTTATTTTCTGAAAACACTAACACACTGTATGTCTGGACTAGGGGAGCCCAGAAACAGCTGTGGGCTGGGACAACTGCACTGAAAACAGGGGAGTTGAGTGAAAATTTACATACTGAATGCTGGCATCCTCAAGCTTGTCACCCAATTTCTCCAGCCTGGACAACTATATTCTTCAGGCACTAGAGTAGAAAAGTCCCTTTGGTGAACAACTGACCTAGAGGAACCTAAGATACTAAAGTCAGGAACAGGACTAGCCTATAGTAAAGTTCAATTAACAAAATTCACCCTGTTCAGAAGACCTTTTAGGAAGTACTCCTAACTTTGAGCAAACATTCAAGATCATCAGTCATTTGAAGAAAGTACCTAATTTTAAGGAAAGAAAATAAAACATGCAAGATAAACTTGAATCAGAGACTGCATAGGAAGAGAAAGAATGAGGGGGGAGCCTATTAATTCCTCAGAGAAAAGAGAAGATACTGGGATTGCTAGATAGCATTGAGGCCTTGCATTTATTGATGACAACTTTAAAATGACACCAGTCATAGGTCATGTTTTTCTCCAGTCATGCTGAGCTGCCTAGCTGAAGACATGAAGTGGGAAATAAGTGGAATTTAACCAAGGCTTGAGTCTTGCCACAGAATAGAAAAAGGACTAGAAATTCCCAACTAATATTCTCAACTTCCATATGTGACTCACAACATTTCCAAAACATAATTTTTAAAATCCATGTTAATCCAGTTAAGAAAAAAAAGCAATACCATACCTTGTTGGCAGCAACCAAGACTTTATCAAGAAATCGCAACCACTCAAAGATAAAAACAGGTCTCTTTGCTTCAGTGATTTGAGCCAAAGCTTCTTCATTTAGTAATAAACTGTGAGCTAACTCCATCGCTGCAGTTTTAAATTCACACCTTAAATTAACAGATTTAAAAATGTGTGTAAGGATTTTTAATATTAAAAGTCAAATTTAATGAATGTAACCACTAAGAAAAAAAAAAGTATCTCTTTACTTCTCGTTTCATTTGCGGAAAACTAACTTTCTTGAGGCACACCGAGAAGCAAGTTGGGAAAGAGGAAGGTACAAACAAAAAATAAAACTCTGCTTGCTGAGGAAGAATGCATAACGGGATGAAAGGAAAATTAAATAAATATTGCAAAAAACAAATATGCCTAGCAAACATAGGTCATGATCCCACCCTGTAAATGAGAACAGGCACTAAGATCAAGCATCGCGGTGCGCCGACCACCCGGTTCTCCCTTTCTCCCGGTCCCCCGCCCCCGCTGCACCCGACCCAGCACAGAGACCCACAGGGACCGGGCGGCACGGCGGGGTGTCCGCGGCCGCAGCATCCCTGACGACATCGTGGTCCAGGAACGCGCCGGCGACGCCCGGTGCGCTCAGGGTCTGGGTTCACCCGGCTGCTCCGAGGACCACAGCGCCGGGCCCGGGAAAAATGCAAAACACTGTCGCAGGCCATCTCGGGCTGTCAACCCCGCGAGGCAGCTCGGAACCGAGGCCGGGCCCAGAAAAGAAAATATTCATTGCGAACTCGCCTTTTCCTCCCCACCCCTCGGAAAACGTCCAGGGGACACAGTAGTATTGTGCGTGTTAACGTGCATGCTTTGACAGCACGGGGGACGGCCTCACCTCCTAGTCTGGCAGGGGCCGATCAGCTGAGCTCCAGAGGCTGAGGCAGCCGCCAAGACACCCGGATGCCCCTCCTCCCGAACGCCTGCCCGCAGGAAACGAGAGGAGTACGCGTGCGCAGAACACTGGTCCTACGCATGCGCACTCGCCATGTCCTCCTCGCCCCGCCTGCCGCAAGTTTCAGATCAAGCCTGCACTGGAAAACAGGTAGTGCACCGCCTGCGCTAACTGATGGGCGCATGCGCGGCGCGCGCTCTCCGGAGCTGGGCCCGGGCTGGTAGAGCTGCCAGGTCAGGGGGTTTCCGGCGCCGGGAGAGTGACCAAAGGCGGTGCGTGTTGGCTGTGACTTCCCACCCCACCATCAGCCGTGTTTCCATCCGTAAGTGCTCTCGTCCGTGGGACACTGTAGCCAAGAGGAGCGCGGGAGGGACCTTCGATTCCCGAAGGACCTTTGTGCGAATGAGGAGTTTCGGGATGTATAGTGGGACTCTCAGAATGTAGGAAAACAGGACTCTTGTTGCCACTCCTCCGCCCCGTCTCTGCAAAAAGGAAAAAAGAACAAAAACAAACCTGCTCTAACAGTCTTCCTACTTAAAAAAAAAAAAAGGGTTACTCTATTCTGTTAGGTGTTCAGGCCAAAAAAGCTTGACATAATCTTGACATTGTTCTGTCACATACCACCTCCAACCCTTGAACAAATTCTGTACTGTCTGCTTTCCAATATACCCTCAATCCCACCAGGTCCACTGCTGTCACTCCAAATGGTTCAGGTCCAGCCACTAGCATCTCTGCCAGGATTATTGGCTCATGATGAGCTTTGTGCTTATGTTTAAAGGAAGTGGATAGTGCTAGAGTATATTATCCCAACAGAAAGGGAACTTTAAAAAGAACCTGGAAAGCGGGTATGATGGTACACACCTGTAATCCTAACAGCGCTGGAGAGGCTGAGGCAGGAGAATCAGAGTTTGAGGCCAGCCTGTGCTACATAGGAAGACTGTCTGTATAAATAAATAAACAGAGTAGCCCTCATTCAGCTCTGCCTTGAACTTTAAAGCTAAATGGGCCTCTTAAAGGTAATATAATTCTAACCCAGGAGCACCAGTGGCTCATGCCTGTAATCCTAGCTATTTGGAAGGCTGAGATCAGGAGGATCCCTGTTGGAGGCCAGCCCTTATCTCCAAAAATAACTAGATCCAAATGGACTCAAGGTGGAGCACAAGCAGTAGAGCACCTATGTGAAGCCCTGAATTTAAACCTCAGTCCTGGTAAGAGGGGGGTAACAGAATGATGGAGGAGGTGAGTTTAATGGATATATTGTAAGCATTTGTAAATGTCACAATATACCCCAGTACAGCTATAATATAATAAAAAAAATTTTTTAAAGCCCAGTCCCACCAAAATAATAATACTAATGATCTCTTTTAAAAAAAAAAAAAGTCTAATTCTGGGCTGGGGAAGTAGCTCAGTGATAGAGCATTTACCTAGCATGTGTGAAGCTGAGTTCAATCCTCAGCACAGCAACAACAAAAAAAAAAGCATAGTAATAATGACGATAATAATAATAACAATAATCTACTTCTCTTTTCAGTAGCAAGACCAGAGATCTGTATTCCTTGAGATTGTGAACAAATCCTTTAGCCATATTGAGCCTTAATTTTTCTAACTGGAAAGTTCTACATTATTGAGTTACTCATAAACTGGGTAAGTACTGACCATTATATGTAAAAATACTATTATTACAAATGAAGAATACAAAGTTTAGAGACAGTAGATGAATTACTGCAAGTTCTATGTATAATCATACATCTTTTAAACTTATAATTTAAAAAATAGGCAACTGAACTGTTGTTTAAGGATGTACATGTGGAAAATGAAACTATAAAGGAAGAAAGTGATTGCCATAAGACACAATAGTGACTGCTGCTCAAACCAAAAGAGGAATATAATTAGGTTTGTGACAAAGAAGGCTCGAAGGTGGCTGCTAAGGTTATCTCCTGATGTGGGTAATAATTTATATTACCTTTTGCTGTAGAACAAATTATTCCAATATAGCAGCTTCAAATCACTGTAGTCATTTATTGTCTCAGAGTTTCTGTGGGTCAAGAATTTGTTACCCCAAAGTACATTCCGCTCCCATCCCAGATGGCTTATGATGCGGAAAGAGCTTGATTAAACCATTTTATAACCAAAATAAAAGAATTTGTTAGCAAGCCAGGTACAGTGACTTATGTCTATAATTTCAGCTACTTGGAAGGTAGAGACAGGAAGAACTTGGTTTGAGGCCACCCTGGGTAAAAAGTTAGACCTTCTCTCAAAAAAAAAGCTGGGTGTGGTGGAACACATCTGTAGTCCCAGGTACACAGGAGGCATAGGTAGGAGGATAACCTCCTGAGGCCGGCACTGTGCAAAAAAGCACCATACTCTATCTGAAAAATAGCCTGAAGCAAAAAGGGCAGGAGGGATATGGCTCAAGCGGTAAAGTACTTATCCAGCAAGGGCAAGGTCCTCAGTTCAAACCCCGTAACACCAAAACAAAGCACAGTTTGTTAGCAGCTTAGCTTAGCATGGACGTTCTTAAGAAGTTGTACTGCAGATGCCAGCCCAGTGTGATCCATCTCGGGACTTGTCTGGGACTTGAGGATCCATTTCCAAAGCAGCTCACTCATGTGGCTTACAAGTTTGTGCTGGCTGTTAATCAAAGGCCTCAGTTCCTCCTATGTGGGCTTTTCCTTAGAACTTCTTAAGTGCCCTTATTATGTGACAGCTGACTTCCTTCAAAAAAATCATGTAACCAGATCGCAGAATGATCTTCCCCAAGAGCTGCAATGTCTGTTGTCACCAAAAAGTCAGATTACATCATTCCCACAAAGTCCTCTTGACTACACAAGTCCATCCTGTTCACTGTGGGAGGAGACTACACAAAGATGTCAAAAACCCAAGAGACATGAATCGCTAGGGGCAGCCCATCTGGGAGCATACCACATGGTTATAAGAGAATTTGCCTCATACTATATTTTTTGTGGCTTTCTTTACTTATGATATACTTATAAATGGTTTTTAAAAGATGTTGACAGAGCTGGAGGCATGGCTCAAGCAATAGAGTGCCTGCCTAGCAACACAAAGCCCTGAGTTCAAACCCTAGTGCCACCAAAAATAATAATAAAAAGATGTTGACATCAGAATAAATTAAGGACCTTTTGTATCCTCATTGTAGCTAAAACTTATTAAGAAATGGGACATAGCAGTAGGTAGGAAGGATATAAGGGACTTGTCTGTATTTTCCAGCCTAGTTGGGAAGATTTACATTAAAAATACCAAAAACCTGTACAGTAATAATTTTTGAACCTATGGTAATTGTCCTGACTCTTAGTTACAATTGATGGAACCCCTACTCTAACAAGCTTAAGTAATGCAGAAATTTATTAGGCCATGTAGCTGGAAGAATGCAAAGTCACAGCATCTAAGAAGTGATGGCCTTGGAAGCTAAGATTGGAGGCTCGTTGCTTGTAGGCCTTTGTCTAGTTTCTCTGTCAGGCTTTATTCTGCAGACAGATTCTCTTTGTATGGCTGAAGAGATGGTCATTCACAGTCCAGCTTCACATATTCCAGTTCAGGAAACCCAATGAAAAGAATATCACTCCCCACAGCCCATATATTCATATGAAGGGGAGAGATACTTATTTGCCCTTGTTGGGTTATTCCTTCTCTCTGCCTCCTGCCTCCATTGCTGGCACATTGGCCATCTTTGCACACAAGGGATTATAGGATATTGACAATGCTCCCCCTCCACTGGAACCACATAGAAGGCAAGGAGTGGGTTCCCACAAGAAAGAATGATACTCAGGGAAATACAGCATATATGCACTGCAACAAGCATCTACAGTTTTATATCCAGCAACTGGACCATAGCACTGACATTGCCTGGAAACCGAAATGCAGAGCTTTCTATTCCCTGCACAGAATAAAATTCTGCATTTGAAGAAGAACTGGGGGCAATTCATATACACAAAAAGTTTAAGAATTACTTTTCTACTTTGAATGGGAATTGTCTCCCAAATTTTTTCCGTATAAATGAGGTGTTAATATATCAAGTTCCAGATAAGCAACTTTAACATAGAGGCCTAAAACAGTCAAAACAGGTTTTTGAGGAGGATAGCCTTGGCATAAAAGTAAAGAAATTTTTGTGGGATGTTAAGAAGATAATGAGAAGCCCATATGAATTGAGTAATAAGTCATAAAATGGGAGTTGGATTAGAACATGGAAGTGATGTCTCCTTTGCTAATGTCTGGTCATCCACTGCCTACAGGGTCATGTTTACTGAAGGATTTGAAACAGAAGTAACCTTATCTGATGTATTTAAAAGGCCAAAACCAAAAAACATTCTGGAGGAGGTATAGAAGAGAGACCAAAGACAATAAGGCCAGTTGAGAAGCTGAAGTAATAGTTCAGGTGAGAAAAAGGGACCTAAACTAAAGTAGTAGTTACGATTGTAGGAAAAAAAATGTCTGTGAAGAATATCTATCTTCCTATCTATATATCTATATCCACTTATATCTATATCTGTCTGTCTGTATATATTGGTGAGGGCAGTGGCAGAGTTTGAACTCAAGACCTTGTACTTGCTAGGTGAGTACTTTACCACTTAAACCACACCTCCAGCCCTTTTTGCTTTAGGTTATTTTGCAGATAGGGATTTTTTTTTTCTGCCTGAACTGGCCTTAGACCACAGTCTTCCTACCTATATCTCTGTGTAGCTGGGATTAATAGATATGCACCCAGCTTGTTTGTTGAGATGGGATCTTACCAACTTTTTGTCCAGATTGGCACTGAACCTCCTGATCTCAGCCTCCCAAGTAGACGGTAGCTGGGGTTACAGTCATGTGCCTCTTTAGCTGGCCTTGTGAAGAATAGTATGGAGGAAGAACTGGCAGAGATTTTTTTTTTTTTTAAGAGATCAGGAAGGAGGAAGATAGCGATGACATTAGTGAAGAAGTATAGAGGGTGTAAGAAATTTGGGGAGAAAAATGAGTTGACTGTTGAGTTTGAGCGATCACAAAGATGTCCAAAGGACACTTGAGTGTGTAGTAGAACTCTAGAGAAAGCTCATGGCTGTGGATATCTACAGGTTTATTTCCATTTTGGTAAATAAAAAAATGCTTTTCCTTTATCCTATTTGGCTTGTAGATAGTGTTGTCATATGAAGTTGAAAATGGCAGAAGAAGAGGATTATATGTCTGATTCTTTCATCAATGTCCAGTAAGTAAATGCACACTAATGTAATGATGCATATAAGACATGTATAGTTGAAGAAACAAAGTCTTTGTTTTTTAGATGTGAAATTGGAAACACTTCTCTGTGTCCTGCAAAGGTATTAGGAACCCTTTCCTTTCTTTTAGTGCTAATCATTTTTCTTCTGCTCTTGATCTTCTTTGTGCTCTTCCAAGGAAATATACTCCTCCTTTATTTCATCTTACTATTTTCTAGCTTCTATTCAATGTTGATCTTTATTGCCGACCTGCTAGAAAAATTAGTCTAAACTTACTATTTCTAATTTCAGTTCTAGGCAATCTATAAGCAGCCTTCATCATTTCTACTAAAACAGTCATTCCTGGAGATCACTGATTATGCCTAATGCCAGTGGTAACAAACATCATACAGCCAGTGCTGAGAAACTGAAATATTAACTCGTGTCAGCTGAGTAAGCTGCAGAATTATGAGAAACTTGATGTACTCATCTAAAATAATCATTTCCTTTCTTGTTCAGAGAAGATGTCAGACCAGGATTGCCAATGCTGAGGCAAATCAGAGAAGCCCGTCGAAAAGAGGAAAAGAAACAGGAAGCTAATATGAAAAATAGGCAGAAGAGTTTAAAAGAACAAGAACAAGAAAGACGTGAAATTGGATTAAAGAATGCACTAGGCTGTGAAAACAAAGGGTTTGCTTTGCTCCAAAAGATGGGATATAAAAGTGGTCAGGCTCTTGGCAAGAGTGGTAAGTCACACTTGGAAATATTGAATTTGCTTTTGTTTTTGGTGGTTCTGGGGTTTGAACTCAGGGCCTCATGCTTGCTAGGCAGGCATTCGACCACTTGAGCCACTCCACCAGCACACATTTGGAAATAGACAGGAATTCCTCACCATTCCATTGTGATGTCTTGGTGAGAACCAAAGATGATGCTTTAATCTTTATCCATCTACAAAAAATTAAAACAACTGAAGCTTAATCTCCTTTGGGCTAACAAGCCAGATTGAGAACTCTCTTCGTCCACATCCATTTTAAATACCACATATGCCATCAAGAGCAGCCCAGCCTTGAAGGCACTAATAACTGGAATGAACTTGGTTTACGATGGAGGCAGAAAAGAGTGGTCACAGTGATGGGTCGAGAAGCCAAAGGGCAGTGAAACAGCAATGAGAATAATGACAGGGCTCTTGCTCTTGCCCTCTTTCTCTGTGCCATGACAGCTGAGTGACTCCCTAGTTGGAGAAGCTCCATTCTTCCTCCTTTTAGGAAGTGAAACTGCTTATTTAGATGCAGAGGCTATATGTATTTATGGTAGCTTCTGTATGCTATTTTTCTTTTCTTCTTGCCTTTATTGTAAATGCTTTGGTTTTCACATAGGAAGACTTTGCTTTCTCTTAAGGTTGTCATCCTCTTGGACCTGTTACGTCATCAGTATTGTCACTTCTTAAAGTGGCATAAGAGGCTGTGAGTCAGCCTTATCAAGGACTATTTGAAGGCAAGGGATTATATAGAGATTATTGATTCTTATATTTCAGTTTAGAATATTAACGAAACCGAGGAAATAGAGCATTATAAAGTTGCATTCTGTATTTACCTGAAGTTTGAGGTAGAATTTCTAATTTGTTTTGTTCTCTTCTTTTTTAGGAGATGGTATTGTTGAACCAATTCCTCTCAATGTCAAGACAGGTATGTAAATTTTTTAGCATATTTATCTATAATAATAACTTATGCTTAGATCAACCACAAATATTTCCTTAATAGTTTCTTATGATAGTACTTTTATAATCCTTATCATAAGAAGCCTTTAGTAAAATTTGAAACCTTTAGAAGGTTTTATTTTGTAGAAACTTTATAGAAGTTTTAGTGAGTATAAAGTAATATTTAAATCATAAAAATATGGGGGAGTCAGTCATAATCCCTGCACTCAGGAAGCTGAGGCAGGAAGATCAAGTTTGAGGCCAGACTGGGCTACATAATGAGTCCCTGTCTCAGAAAAACCAAGAGCTGGGGATGTAGCTCAGTGGTAGAGTGCTTGCCTAATATGTACAAAGCCCTCGGCTGATCCCCAGCATGACAAAAAAAAAAGTAGTGGTAATCATTATACCCATCATTATAACTACAGTGTTATTTTTGTCCTTTGAAATGTCCTAAAAACATTCTAAGACAGATTTATCCATGCATTTTTTGTAAAACTTAGATCATGCATTTAAGCTTTTAAAAAAATCCTTTGTGTTTCCATCTTGTCATTCTAGAAAAATGAGTTTGCATGATTATTCTCAAGTAAGAGTTACATTTAATTTGTATTTAAATTGTTATGTTTTAAAGTAAACAATCAGTAAGTTCCTTATCAGGATTTTGTCTTTGATCAGGGAAAAGTGGCATAGGTCATGAGGCATTATTAAAACGGAAAGCAGAGGAAAAATTAGAAAACTACAGAAGAAAGATTCATATGAAAAACCAAGTTGAAGAAAAAGCTGCAGAACAGTTTCGGTAAAACTTTGTATTTGAACTGGTTTTGGTTCCAAATCCTCATTAGTGTGGTATGTTTTCTGGTACTTGTGTATATAAAATAGTTAAAGAGAATATAGACTTCACTGTACAATTTTTTTTCTTTCAAATAGGATGCGACTTAAAAATAAACAAGAAGAAATGAAGCTAGAAGGAGATCTTAAAAGAAGCCAGAGAGCCTGTCAACAATTGGATACCCAGAAGGTAGGCCACTACTTGCTTTCAGTTTCATAGTGTTTTGATAGCCAGTACGATTTACCATATATTTTTACTTAAGAAAGAAGAACTTCAACCCTGGGTTATTTAGCTTTTTCTCCATTGAAGCTTTCATTTAACAGACACTATTGAGCTTTGATAATTGATGCAATAATTACTTGCTCACTATAAGAACTTGAGTATCCAGTAAGAGTTGAATAACTTCTCTGCTGATTTTAAGTTTACCTTATTTTATTTTATTTTTTCAGTACTGGGGATTGAACCTAGGATCTCATGCATGCCAGGCAAACACTCTAGCACTGAGCTACATCCCTAGCCTCTTGTGATTTTAATTACTCAGGATGAGAATGTGTAGAAATGCTGTTCTTCATAATATTCGATGAACAAGAATAACCTATTTTCAATCATATTTAGAACTGTATATGACTCTAGTGAAATTAAAGTAGAATATGGTCTATTTCAGATGTGAATGGTTTTAAAAATTCTATCTTTGCTTTTATCTGTGTGGTTCAAGTGCCATCAAAATAAAAAGACTTCAACCGGGTGCTGGTGGCTTATGCCTGGAACCCTAGCTACTTGTGAGGCTAAGATCTGGAGGATCACAGTTTGAGGCCAGCCCATGCAAAAAGTTCTTGAGACTTCCTCTAAAATAACCAGAGCAACATGGACTGGAGGCATGGCTTCAGCAGAAGAGCACCTGCTTTACAAGCACAAAGTCCTGAGTTCAAACCCCAGTCCTACCAAAAAAATAAATGAATAAAAAAATAATTAAAATGACTTTATGTAAAATCTCAATCATATTGGTAAAATGCCTCTCATATATGAATAGTGTGCAGTCTCTCACTCTGCTGTGTTGCTATAGGACTTTATTTTGAATGTATTTCCTGACACTTATAATTTCCTAGTTATCTTCAAGATCATCACCAGCACCTGGGAGACAGAATTCTAATTGGACTCTGTATCCCCACAGTTCAGAGTACAGTGCTTTCCTCTTACAAAGCACTCAGTATGTATTTATTGGAAAAATGAACTTATATTGATGTGAACATTCTTGTGATAGTCTATGCTTAGCTATGTTTCATAAGAATAATTCTACACTTTCAGAATATTCAAGTTCCCAGGGAAGCATGGTACTGGTTGAGGACTGAAGAGGAAACCAAAGAAGACGAAGAAGAAGAGCAGGATGAAGATGAATATAAGAGTGAAGGTTTAAGTGTATGTTTTGGCACCATTTCTTTCCTTCATAGCAGAGTCTCAGCCTTACCACTATTAGCACTTTAAGCTGGGTAATGCTTTCTTGCAGGCAGCTACCAAGTGCATTGTAAGATATGTAGCAGCATCCCTGGCCTCTGCCCTCCAGCAGCCAGCTGCACCTCCCTGTTGACAACCAAAAACATGTCTAGGCATTGCAGAATACCCCTGAGGAGAAAGATTACCCATAGTGGGAAACTGCTTTACTAAGTTGTTTTATTAACCCCAAATCAAAAATTGTGTAATATTTCTATTTAGCTTCAGTTTGCCCCCTCACCTTAGCTTCAGTTGGATGCTAAATTAGCAAATTTACACCTTGTTTTCTGTTGAACTTCTGGAAGTAATTCTAATGTGTACCTCCCCACCCATATTCAAAATAAGACAGAAAAATCCATCAAAAGGAAGGAAGATTATTCGGGAAAGGAAGATACACTCCTGTGGTTAATTTGTATATAAGAATTTTGTAGAAAATATTCACAGTTTGAAAAACCTATGTACCATGGATGAGAACTTTTATGGCAAAAGGAAGCAGTACCCACTTTCAGCCCATAGGGGTGAGGGGTAGGCATACTGAGTGTAAATGGGGCCTTTAAGAATGCTGATTATCATAAAACTAACCAAAACTGTTTGCTAAGTATTAACCAGTGGTCTCTATTGTGTCTGGCAGACTTGTGAAAAATCTCAGGGTGGCTAATCAGCCAGAACACTTTCAAATACATTATTTCAGTCCTTAACATCTCTAATAACTGGAAATACAGCAGGAGATTTACATTGTGAGGCTAGTTTACCATGATCTATGAGCCAAAACAATAAGTTTCTGTTCAGTGTGAACTACTAATGTGTTTATGTCCTGTATCTAGGTGCTGGAAAAATTACAAACACTGACTAGTTATTTAAGAGAAGAACATCTGTATTGTATTTGGTGTGGAACAGCCTATGAAGGTAATAGTGAATATGAATGTTCTTTGATTTTTAATAAAATTCACATTTCCCATAGGCAGTAGAAATGTCTTACTCCATTTAAATGGCAGTGTGGGACTAATTTCCTACAGAAATAATGACTAGAAGTCACTGAAGTCTTATGAGAATTCTTTCTAACTTTTTAGTAACTGAATGTGCACAAGGGAATTTTTCAGTGTTTCATTTAAAAAAAAAGAGAATAACTTGAGAATGATGAATTGTTTATGCTTTATTTTTTTTTCTTTTATTATTCATATGTGCATACAAGGCTTGGGTCATTTCTTCCCCCTGTCCCCACCCCTCCCTTAACCCACTCACCCCTCCCTTCCCCCCACCCCTCAATACCCAGCAGAAACTATTTTGCCCTTATTTCTAATTTTGTTGTAGAGAGAGTATAAGCAATAATAGGAAGGAACAAGGGTTTTTGCTGGTTGAGAAAAGGATAGCTATACAGGGCATTGACTCACATTGATTTCCTGTGCATGTGTGTTACCTTCTAGGTTAATTCTTTTTGATCTAACCTTTTCTCTAGTTCCTGGTCCCCTTTTCCTATTGGCCTCAGTTGCTTTTAAGGTATCTGCTTTAGTTTCTCTGCGTTGAGGGCAACAAATGCTAGCTATTTTTTAGGTGTCTTACCTATCCTCACCCTCCTTGTGTGCTCTCGCTTTTATCATGTGCTCAAAGTCCAATCTCCTTGTTGTGTTTGCCCTTGATCTAATGTCCACATACGAGGGAGAACATACGATTTTTGGTCTTTTGGGCCAGGCTAACCTCACTCAGAATGATGTTCTCCAATTCTATCCATTTTCCAGCGAATGATAACATTTCGTTCTTCTTCATGGCTGCATAAAATTCCATTGTGTATAGATACCACATTTTCTTAATCCATTCGTCAGTGGGGGCATCTTGGCTGTTTCCATAACTTGGCTATTGTGAATAGTGCGCAATAAACATGGGTGTGCAGGTGCCTCTGGAGTAACCTGTGTCACAGTCTTTTGGGTATATCCCAAGAGTGGTATTGCTGGATCAAATGGTAGATCAATGTTAGCTTTTTAAGTAGCCTCCAAATTTTTTTCCAGAGTGGTTGTACTAGTTTACATTCCCACCAACAGTGTAAGAGGGTTCCTTTTTCCCCGCATCCTCGCCAACACCTGTTGTGGTGGTGTTGCTGATGATGGCTATTCTAACAGGGGTGAGGTGGAATCTTAGTGTGGTTTTAATTTGCATTTCCTTTATTGCTAGAGATGGTGAGCATTTTTTCATGTGTTTTTTGGCCATTTGAATTTCTTCTTTTGAGAAAGTTCTGTTTAGTTCACTTGCCCATTTCTTTATTGGTTCATTAGTTTTGGGAGAATTTAGTTTTTTAAGTTCCCTATATATTCTGGTTATCAGTCCTTTGTCTGATGTATATTTGGCAAATATTTTCTCCCACTCTGTGGGTGTTCTCTTCAGTTTAGAGACCATTTCTTTTGATGAACAGAAGCTTTTTAGTTTTATGAGGTCCCATTTATCTATGCTATCTCTTAGTTGCTGTGCTGCTGGGGTTTCGAGAGAAAGTTCTTACCTATACCTACTAACTCCAGAGTATTTCCTACTCTTTCCTGTATCAACTTTAGAGTTTGGGTCTGATATTAAGATCCTTGATCCATTTTGAGTTAATCTTGGTATAGGGTGATATACATGGATCTAGTTTCAGTTTTTTGCAGACTGCTAACCAGTTTTCCCAGCAGTTTTTTGTTGAAGAGGCTGCTTTTCTCCATCGTATATTTTTTAGCTCCTTTGTCAAAGACAAGTTGGTTATAGTTGTGTGGCTTCATATCCTGGGTCCTCTATTCTGTTCCACTGGTCTTCATGTCTGTTTTTGTGCCAGTACCATGCTGTTTTTATTGTTATTGCTTTGTAATATAGTTTGAAGTCAGGTATGTGATACCTCCATTGTTTCTTTTGACTGAGTATTGCCTTGGCTATTCGTGGCCTCTTGTGTTTCCATATAAATTTAACTAGATTTTTCAATCTCTTTAATGAATGTCATTGGAATTTTGATGGGAATTGCATTAAACATGTAGATTACTTTTGGGAGTATAGACATTTTTACTATGTTGATTCTACCAATCCATGAGCATGGGAGATCTCTCCACTTTCTATAGTCTTCCTCAATCTCTTTCTTCAGAAGTGTATAGTTTTCCTTGTAGAGGTCTTTTCACATCTTTTGTTAGGTTTACACCTAGGTATTTGATTTTTTGAGGCTATTGTAAATGGAATTGTTTTCATATATTCTTTTTCAGTGTTCATATTGTGTATAGAAATGCTAATGATTTTTTCTATGTTGATTTTATATCCTGCTACCTTGCTATAGCTATTGATGATGTCTAGAAGCTTCTGAGTAGAGTTTTTTTGGGTTTAAGGTATAGGATCATGTATCTGCAAATAGGGATATTTTGACAGTTTCTTTACTATTTGTATTCCTTTTATTCCTTCTTCTTGCCTAATTGCTCTGGCTAGGAATTCCAGTACTATGTTGAATAGGAGTGGAGATAGTGGGCATCCTTGTCTGGTTCCTGATTTTAGAGGAATGGTTTCAGTTTTTCTCCATTAAGTATAATGCTGGCTGTAGGTTTGTCATATATAGCTTTTATAATGTTGAGGAACTTTCCTTCTATTCCTAGTTTTCTTAGAGCTTTTTATCATTGGATCTTATCAAAGGCTTTTTCTGCATCTATTGAGATGATCAAGTGGTTTTTGTCTTTGCTTCTGTTAATGTGGTTTATTACGTTTATTGATTTTCGTATGTTGAACCACCCCCTGCATCCCTGGGATGAAGCCTACTTGGTCGGTGAATAATCTTTTTGATGTGTTGTTGAATTCGGTTTGCCATTATTTTGTTGAGGATTTTTGCATCAATGTTCATTAAGGAGATTGGCCTATAGTTCTCCTTTTTGGAGGTGTCTTTGCCTGGTTTTGGGATAAGTGTAATACTGGCTTCATAAAATGTGTTTGGCAGTTTTCCTTCCCTTTCTATTTCATGGAACAGTTTAAGGAGGGTTGGTATCAGTTCTTCTTTAAAGGTCTGATAGAATCAGCAGAGAATCCATCAGGTCCTGGACTTTTCTTTTTGGGAGACTCTTGATTGCTGCTTCAATTTCATTTTGTGTTATAGTCTATTCATGATTAATTTCCTCTTGGTTCAGTTTTGGATGATCATATGTATCTAGAAATCTGTCCATTTCTTTTAAGATTTTCAAATTTTTTGAATATAGGTTCTCAAAGTAGTCTCTGATGATTTCCTGGACTTCCATGGTGTTTGTTGTTATCTCCCCTTTTTGCATTCCTGAATTCTACATTTGGGTTTTTTCTCTCCTCATTTTAGTCAGGTTTGCCAGGGTCTATCGATCTTGTTTATTTTTTCAAAGAACCAACTTTTTGTTTTCATTAATTCTTTGTATGGTTTTTTTTGGTTTCTATTTCTTGATTTCAGCTCTTATTTTTATTATTTCTCTCCTTCATTTGTTTGTGGATTTGCTTGTTCTTGTTTTTCTAGGAGTTTGATGTATCATTAGGTCATTGATTTGGGATCTTTCAGTCTTTTTAATATATGCACTCATGGCTATAAACTTTCCTCTCAGACTGCCTTTGCTGTGTCCCATAGGTTCCGGTAGGTTGTGTTTTCATTTTCATTGACTTCCAGGAACTTTTAATTTCCTCTTTTATTTCATCGATGATCCATTTTCATTAAGTAATGAGTTATTTAAGTTTCCAGCTGTTTGCATGTTTTTTGTCTTTACTTTTTGTTGAGTTCTACTTTTACTGCATTGTGATCAGATAGTATGCACGGTATAATTTCTATTTTCTTATATTTGCTGAGGCTTGCTTTGTGCCCTAGGATATGATCTATTTTGGAGAAGGTTCCATGGGCTGCTGAAAGAATGTATATTGTGTAGAAGTTGGATGAAATGTTCTGTAGACATCTAATAGGTCCATTTTGATCTATTGCATATTTTAGATCTTGGATTTCTTTATTGATTTTTTGTTTTGATGACCTATCTATTGATGATAATGGGGTGTTAAAGTCTCCACAACCACTGTGTTGGCGTTTATATATGCTTTTAGTCTTTCAGGGTATGTTTGATGAAATTGGGTGCGTTGACATTGGGTGCATACAGATTGATATTATTATTTCCTTTGGTCTATTTCCCCTTTTATTAGTATGGAATGTCCTTCTTTATCTCGTTTGATCAATGTAGGTTTGAAGTCTACTTTGTCAGAGATAAGTATTGCTACTCCTGTTTTCGGGCCATTGGCTTGGAAATCTTCCAGCCTTTCATCCTAAGCCTATGCTTATTTCTGTGGTGAGATGGGTCTCCTGTAAGCAACAAATTGTTGGATCTTCCTTTTTAATCCATTTCTCAAGCGGTGCTTTTTGATGGGTGAATTAAGTCCGTTAACATTAAGTTAGTACTGATAGGTATGTGGTGATTCCTGTCATTTAGTTGTCTTAGTTGTTTGAAGGTTTGATTGTGTGTACCTAAGTTGAGGTTACTCTCTACTTGTCTTGCTTTTTCTTTTCCTGTGGTTTGGTGCTGCCTGTCTTTTCATGGTTAAGTTGGGTTTCACTTTCTGTGTGCAGAATCCCTTGCAGAATCTTTTGTAGTGGTGGCTTTGTGGTACATATTGTTTAGTTTCTGCTTTCATGGAAGACTTTTATTGCTCCATCTATTTTGAATGATAGTTTTGCTGGGTAGAGTATCCTGGGTTGAAGTTATTTTCATTCAGTGCCCGGAAGATCTCACCCACAGCTCTTCTTGCTTTTAATGTTTCTGTTGAGAAGTCTGCTGTGATTTTGATGGGTTTACCTTTGTATGTTACTTGTTTTTTTTCTCTCTTACAGCCTTCAATATTCTTTCCTTAGTTTCTGAACTTGTTGTTTTAATGATGATAATGTCGTGGTAGTTCTATTTGATCTGGTCTGTTTGGTGTCCTGGAGG